AAATGTTTTTAAAACCAATGTTTTAAGTTTGAACAAATAAATTAAAATATTTTTTGTCAATGGGGTAGGCTTATATACCTGTTGTCTTTGTGGATCTGTTCCTGACCTAAAGTAAACAGTTATCTTTAAACTGTCTTTTTACACTACTAGGCTTGGTATGGCTGAGACTAGTAGTGTAAAAATTAAGTAATTATTTTGAGACCTATTATGTAATAATTATCAATGTGAATTGTGTGTTTTAAATATTAAATGTTTATGTGGGCTTACCCTCTTATACTTGTTACCAAATGTGATTACATTCAGAAATTTCTGACAACAGGTGGGTTACACTGACTAATTGAGTCTTAAGTATTGGGGATGGCAATGATGTCATGTAAGACAGACTAGGAGAAAGAGGATGGAAAAGAAATGACAAGATTCAGTTGGAGTTACTCAACACAATGAAACAGTGAACTACACTTAAAACATTTATTAGATGGCACTAAAGTTTGTACAGTATGTTACACATATAAGTAAGACAGTATTCATGTTACATCATTACAATTTCAGAGTGAAAGTTTATAATCTACAAATAACTTTGAATTCTGACAAATAATTTCCACATTTCTTATGAACAGATTTCACATTGGATACACTGAATAGGTTATTGGGAAACTGTTCTTGATAAGATCAAACTTCAAGAGTTTGGAAATGCAGGTGAGTAGGGAAGCACACAAACACAGATCTCGATGGCTTGAAGAGTGAATGGCAACTCTTTGAAATCATCCAAAAATTATTACAGTGGTACCTCAGGATACGAAATTAATCCATTCCGAAACTGAGATCGTATCATGAAAATGTTGTAAGGTGAATCATTTTTCCCCATATGATGTAAAACCAAATCATTTTTTCCAACAAGAAAACACTGAAAAATGCGTTTTGTAGTTGTAAATGTATAAATAACCATAATAGAATAATAATTTATTAAAAAAATGTAGTTTTATTTGCACTTTACCTTTGAGGATAGACAACGATGGAGGTGTAAACAAGTGGCGAAGGAGAGGGAGAAGGAAATGATACTAAAACTTATTGTTACATTATGTTATGCAAGTTAACTTAAAAATAACTTAACACTAATTTTTTAACTTTTCTGTTTTATATATATATTTTTTTTAATTTTTTATTCACTCCTTTTTGCCGTCTTTCCTTCACTTCCACCAGCACTTTCACTGGATAGAAGTCGCTTGGTAAAATATCTATCCAAAGGCTTTGCCTACTTTTTAAAAGTTTCTAAAATGACTTATGTAAATGTCATTACTCTGAGCAGCAATACAGCCAGTGTGAACCTTTTTGGGATGTTTCTTTTCAATAAAATCAGTCACTTCCTGATAATACCTCGAGATTTCCTTTATTGAGTGAGATCCTTCCACGACGAAACAAACACGCAAACTGAGACCAATGAACAGAAGTGAATAAAAAATGGTGCTGCGAACTAATGTAACGTCATATGGTGAGTTTTTGTTTGTACCATGGAGCAAAATTATGTTCAAATTTCATGTCGTATCCTGAAAATTTCATATGCTGGGGCGTTCGTATCCTGAGGTACCACTGTATATTCAAAGGTGAAATTGTCCAAAGCTATGACTAATCTAAAGTTAAGGAAACATGTCATAACTTTCTTACAATCAACTGTGGGAAAATGTCAATTTAGGAAATTAACATATTCTGGCTCCTGATGAGATCATATCAAAGTTGCAATATTAGGTTAAGTGATAATTATTAAAAGGTTCTTCTCCCTCCCCTTTTTTGATGCTCACATTTATCATATTGCTATTTGCTTGGAGTGCATTAGTATAAATTACTCCAATATTCTTATTTTAATTATGCAATAAGTGAATTACTATTAATTAACAATAAATGTAATTAATTAATGCTCAATTAAGTTATAAATTTTTAAATTATTTTAACACATCCTTCTCGTATCAGAATCAGTAAAATGAGAGAATTTTTACTAATTATAGTGTTATTTACTTACCTCTATGTAATGTTATCAGTCAGTTTTTATCATCAAGATTGCAGTGCCTTCCTAGATTGGTGCTCTGCCATCTGATTTTATTGACTATTCAGCTGAATAATTTGATGAGATGAAGCTTGTTTTATAATTGTGTGTAGCACCATCTGTTATGAGATTTTATTATAAAAAAGTTTTTATATTCTTAATTACTATAAAATGGCAAAAAGCTTAATTTTGAAGGTAGGGATGAGTTTTATAAAAAAGTATAAATGTTAATTATGAGTAAAATCATCGTTCAGTCTGACCCTACTGGAGATACACACGACCTCTTTATCTCCCTACCTCCTCGACCTTCAACCATCAAAATTTAATAGCATCAATGCCATTCATATACAAGCCACCATGCCAAATTTCATTACTTAATCTTCATCCCATCATGAGATATGAAATGAAATAGATGTCCCCACACACACACCACAATTTTTTTGCCATTTTTTTGACTTTTGGATTCAGCAAGTCTCAAAATGTAGAGATTTGCAAAAAAGTTTGAGGGTCAAATTTGACACAATTCCAATACTTTCCCTTGTTATGCATACATAATAGCTGGGAAAGTAAAAGTAGGATGGTAGGCAGGGCATTTTGATATGATATCAGACGAGTCACATGATCAATTCCAGATTACGGTCATTGATTTTGTAGCTTTCTGACATTATTAATGACAGATATTACAAGCAACCAATGAACATTTTACTTATCCATATATTCTTGTTTACAAAATAATGATCTACAGCAATAGTGTCAATGAACAATTAATTATGGTTCTGAGTGTAGCTTTGTTTGCTTTAACTACCTCTTTTTTAACTCAGATAATTAGCAAAAAGCATCAACTCTCTTTTATAATTGATCCACATAATTGAATACAGTAGAGCCTCGATTATCCGACTCAATTGGGGACTGGGGTTGGTCGGATAATTGAAAAGTTGGATAACCGAAAACTATGAAAAAATTCATTATTAGTGTAGTATATTATTATATCCCATGTAATTAGTATATTAGTATATCGCTATTAATCTACTTTGCATTGAATTTTCATCGATGTTAAGCCTAACAAAATTTTTTTAAAATAATAATCGTCGCTATTGTATCGTTAAAAATTAGAAAATTAAGCCTCGTTTAAATACTGACTCCCTTTCATAGTCGAATGAGTGTTGCCAGCTAAAACACATAAAAATAATATTAAAGTAGCCCAGACATAGCCAAATATCGTAGCGCCACATAACTAGCGGACATTTGAAATTTGCCAACTAGGACGGTCGGTTAACCGAGGTGTCGGTTAATCAGGGGTCGGATAATCGAGGCTCTACTGTATTAAAATTTTTACGCTATAACTTATATGCAATTCATCTTTGACTTACAGTTCATACAACGAATATTGGCTATTTTTGAATATAACTATGAAACAGTCCAGAAGCAGAACATTTTTCAAACAGTTTTAAAATTGAGATGGCATATTGAAAAGCAGGACCATTCTGCTAATTCTGGACATCTGGTCACTTTAACATAAATGTTTTAAAAGAAGCTTAATTTTATGAGTGAAAATTATTGGAACTGCATTAGCTGAAACAATTATTTATTATAAATTTTGTTTGGTGTAAATGATAATTTATAATTTTGAACATCACATTTACAATATATTCTATACATAGAATGAAAGGAGATATAACTAAATATCATGATTTAATTTTTAGATTGATCAATTAACAAAGAAATTTGGCAGTAAAGTAAAAAAAGGACAACTAGAATCACGATTACAACATTCAATTGCAACAGCTGATATGGAAATTGTAGCTGCAAAGGCTATAGAAGAAGTAGCGGAAGAATCTTTAAACAGTAATATTTATTCTATACATATATAAACTAACAATAGTACTGTATATATGTAAACTTAAAATGATATAAACTTGCCTTTTTTCCAGAGAGTAATTCATTAGAAGAGAACGAAACAACTTACTCTGAAATTATTCCTCCTCAGGATAGAAATGCCTTTTTAGCTAAAAATGTATATAAAATTCAAGATAGTATCCTTAAATATAGCATTTATTAATAATATACAATAGGAAACATTATTTATATTGATCATAATTTGATTTAATTTTAATGTATTCTAAATACAGCGGTACCTCAGGATACGAAATTGATCTGTTCCAAAACTGAGATCGTATCATGAAAATATCGTAAGGTGAATCATTTTTCCCCATACGATTACATGTAAAACCAAATAATTCGTTCCAACACGAAAAATACACTCAAATTAAAGCTAAGTAGTACATTAAAAAATTAACTATAGTAAGGAAAACACTGAAAATGCGTTTTGTAGTTGTAAATGTATAAATAACCATAATAGAATAATAATTGATAAAAAAAATGTAGTTTTATTTGCACTTTACCTTTGAGGATAGACGACGGTGGAGGTGTAAACTGGTGGCGGAAGAGAGGGAGAAGGGAAATGATACTAAAACTTAACTTACATAACATAATGTAACAATAACTTAAAAATAACTTAGAAAAGATTAAAAAAATTAGTGTTGTTTTATATATATTTTTTAAAATTTTTATTCACTGCTTTTTGCTTTCTTTCCTTCACTTCCACCAGCACTTTCACTGGATAGAGGTCGCTTGGTAAAATATCTATCCAAAGAGGTTTGGCTTTGCCTACTTTTTAAAATGTTTCTAAAATGACTTAGGCAAATGTCATTACTCCGAGCAGCAATACGGCCAGTGTGAACCTTTTCGGGATGTTTCTTTTCAATAAAATCAGTCACTTTTTGATAATACCTCGAGATTTCCTTTATCTAGCGAGATCCTTCCACGACAAAGCAAACACGCGGACTGAGACCAATGAACAGAAGTGAATAAAAAATGGCGCTGAGAACTAATGTAACTTCGTATGGTGAGTTTTTGTTCGTATCGTGGAGCAAAAATATGTTCGATTTTCATGTCGTATCCTGAAAATTTCGTATGCTGGGGCGTTCGTATCTTGAGGTACCACTGTACTTATCAAATATTTTTATACAAAATATACATAAAATAACTTGAAAAACAAATCTTTACCTTGGAAAAATTCTTGCTTGTGCTATCATTTCTAATACACTTGTTTTGCCTGCACTTTGATCACCAACTACAACTACCTATTTATAAAGATGAAATACTGAATAATCAAAATAATTCATTTTTATGTCAAAAAATAAATTCAACATAAACTTCTCCAAAATGAAGTAATTAAATTTAAAAGTAAACTTTTCATATAACATAATAAACAAATACATAAAGTTGCTTATTCTGATAATAATCTGAATGATTTTTTCGTCAAAATTGTTATCAGTAACAAATAAAAAAATATGCCATTAACATATATCAGAACAAAATTTAAAATAAAAACAATGGTATAAAGGTCATTCTAAAAGTAAAGAACGTTTGTTTCTCTAGATATTTTTATTTAAAATAATGAAACAAAACTTATTTTACAACACATATGATACTTTAGCTATTTTTCTACATAGTCGTCATACAAATTTAAACATTTGTCATAGCATATCACCAGCTTTTCTATGCCTTCTGAACACTCAGTTACCACCAAGTTCTTGAACCAGTCATTCCCACCAAAAAATCCTTCAATTTTGGGAAAAGATGGTAATCACTTGGAGTCAAGTCTGGGTATAAGGAGGATGTTCAAAAACTTTCCACTTAAACTGCTGAAGCAAGTTCTTCGTCAATGCAGCAGCACGTGGATGTGTGTTATCCTGAAGAAGCACAATGCCTCTGGACAACAATCCCTGCTGCTTGTTTTGAACTGAAGCTTCATTCATCACATTCCCATAAAACTTGGTTATCTGTCTGTAAATTTCAATATGGCAAACTTTTTTCACATTCGAAAAGTGTATTACACTACTAACCTCACATTTGGTGGGATCTTTAATTTTGTCACAGATTTCAAAGTCACATTATAAACAGTAAATGATCATTGCAGCTCACTGTTAACATCTGACTGGTGAGAATAATGAGAAGGTCCATGACGTAGATCAAAATGTTCTTTTCTTTTAGAATGACCCTCATAATAAACAATGATTCTACTCCAAAAGAATTCAAAACTGAATCTTTAGCTAAAAATAGATGAATTGCTGTTTTCCATGACATTAAGAAAAATTTTGATCATAGATTGATTTCTGTAAGAAAATGTTAAAGGCAAATTTATGATTTATTTGTGTTTTTTCTACAAAATATAAAAATGTAAACAAACAAAATGAAGAAAGTAAGTTTAGTATTTGTAGGAAATATTTCCTCCAATTACAAAACTTTCTTGATTGTGTTTTAATAATGAAAATGGTGTTTCTCACTAAATAGTGTGTATATGTGTAGTTTTTTAATGTTATACAATTAAACTCTGTCCTTTCATAAAAAGAATTCTCTTCACAACAAACTTTTGCAATGCAAAGATTTTCTAAGAATATAACTATTAGTAAAAATTAAAGTACAGTAAGACCCCACTTAATGCAGGAACTACGTTCCTAGACCACAAAGTGCTAAACAAAACAGCGTTAAATGAGGTAATTTTAACACAGAGTAAATAGGGGAAGGAGAACACGCAACCAAAAATAAAGAGATTTTACTTTAAGTTATTTTTATATTAATTTGCATAATAATATATGTTAAATAACACACAAACATATGCACACAGAAATGTAAAGTTCATTTTTTATAATGAAGGTCTGGATCTTCTGAAATTCTTGTTTTTTGCTATAAAGTTGTGTAGTTGCATTTGTCGCTTTCTTTTTCTTTTCTTAAGTAAATATTGGTAGCAAGAGATTGCATCCAAAATGCCTCATCTTGCTTTTGCACTCTTTTCAAAATCTGGACCATTTGCTACAATTTGATCAACAATTTCAGTTATTGTTACCAAACTTTTACTAAAGAAATCTAACAATTTCTTTGGGTTCTTCGTTTTCATAATCACTATTTTCCAGTTCTACATGAATTATTGTTCTGCCAGTTCTTGAAGGTCGTCGTTGGTAATGCTCTCACCAGAAACCTGCAGTAATTCTTCAATATCCTGCTCACCTACATCTAGTCTTGCTGTATCGATTAGGTTGACAATTTACACTCTTCTCGTTGAGAATTCTTGGATATTTTCAGCCATACCTTCTTCCACACTCTATTCATGCATTTTTCAGTTAATTCTTGCCAAGTGAAGTTGATATTTCCTATGTCATCCATTATGTTATATATTTTTGAAAATTGCATGAAACAAACGTAGATTTAAGGAAAGTACAGTGCTACAACGAATTGCCACCTTTCACTGATTGGTTTGTGTTTGGGAATAATCGTATTATATACAAATCAATGAAATGCCGCAATAATTTGACTCAGTGTAAATTTTGAGCTTTTCTTAGGCTTCAAGCAGACCATGTTATATCAAATCATCATTAATTGGGGTCTTACTGTATAACAAATAAAAAATTTATGATAATCAAATTGTTGTTCTCAAGTTGCTAACAGTCAATGAGTTGTAAAGATTGTTGAACATATTATATTTTGATTTGTTTGGTATGTTCATCAATAATTGTAAAATCAGTATTGTTAACATGACATACATGAAGTATAATATGTTCTACAATACAAATGCAAGACTGTAGAATATACTATTTCTGAATGATTATTTTTTACAAAAACAAATACTTGTGAAGTATTTAATCAAAACTAATAGATATTAATTAAATTCTATGTTAAAAAGAAATTTTTAACTTAATTCTGATGAAATGACCTGCCTTAAGCTACAATACAATTTAATGTTATTCTACTTATCTTTTTTTTTTAGCATAAAACATGCCTATTAGCTTTCTTATAATCAATAAATAAATTAGGCAGAATAATAATTACATTATCTAGTATGGCAATAGTATCTGCTAATTTCATTCTTTTTACTTTCAACAATCTCAGGGAAACTCACCAAAATTTCAAAATTTGTTTGATAACAAAAATATCATTAAAAAGGAAACCTATTACAACTGTAGATGAAAAACTGCAATAAAATGAATCTGGATTACATTGACTAGTTTCAGAATATAATTATAACACTTTTATAAGATAAAATCTTATAAAATTGTTATAATTATATTCTGAAACTACTCAATATACATTGACATTTTACTCTTGTCATCAATTTCAAGTATGTTGTAATGATAAACAAGTATAATTTGAAAAGGTAATTTGTTTATATATAACAGAAACAACAAATGATCTGCCAGATTATCCATTGGGCTATTTTAAGGCTAGTAAATAATTAAATACAAATAAATTTGGCTAGAGGTAGATAGTTACACTGCCTTCTCATGGTAAATTTAATAATTAAAAATAAATTAATTTTAATTTAGAAGATTCTTGAAGAAAAGAATTGACTTGGGGCAGGACTCAACCCTGCAACTCCTGCTTACTGTGCAGATGAATTATCAGTTATGCTACCTGAATCTCTGTCCAATCTTCACTTTCAGAACTATTAATTAATTAGTTAAGATATAACTATACTGGTTACTCACAGCACTGATTGCAGATGATTTAGTGCCCATGACACTCTATGGTTCTCAGCTGACTTGTGTGTATGTGTGTGTAGAACAGAAACCAAGAGATTGCAGCATAACTGCCTATCTCTAGCAAAATTATTGAAATTATTTACTAGCCTTAAAATTTTCCAATGAATAATCTGGCAGATCATTTGTTGGTAATTTGTTTATGGGTGCATAACTAAATTCATGACGTTAAATAAAAATTTAGTACAATCATTCTTATACATACCCTTGGCAAATGATCTTGGGTGTTGTAACTAGAGTCATACTCACTTAATTCATCCAAAACTTCAGAATACATATCAATCAAAGATTTCTATTAAATATAAAAACAAAAATTTAATATTTCTATCACAAATGTTTTTGAACAACACAGAGTTTAAAAATTAGCTCTAGTTTTTCTAAGTGAAAATATTAATATATTGAAACAATGATATAACAGCATTTATCATTAAACAGCAAATCCCTCTTTAACAACAAACATCATCAAAACCATATTAATAAAGTAAGTGTAAAAAATGAATAGATAAAATGTACTTGTATACAGTAATACCTCGACTTACACTACCCTGACTTACGTGATTGTCAAATCTCATCGATTCATCTTTTCTTTGAGTGCCATGCAACCCTTGATTACTCACTCCCCCACACTATTGTTCAGCTTACATGTTCGGATGTGTTGCGCAGAATCGACACATAGCTACAATTTATTGTGTTATTTATTTCTGTGTTTGTTATACCTACGGGGACTTGAGAGACTCTACTATGTCATCCAAACAAAGTAGAACTAATTCTTCTGCATCAAACAAGAAAAGAAAAACTTTATCTTTGGAATGTAAAGTTAACATTATTAAAGACTTCAATACAAAAATGAAAATTTGTGAATTGGCAAAGTTTGATCTACCGGAATTGTCGGTCAGAACAATTATAAAAGGCAAAGAAAAAATTCTCGAAGCTGTGAAAAATGCTCAATCTTTAAATTCAAGCATCATTCGTAAACATCACAGTATTATCACTGAGATGGAAACAATGTTAAAATTATGGCATGATAATCAAGTAAATGTGAAAAATTGTAAAATAATATAGGCCTAATTTGTTATACATATGTATTATCTAAGATTTTATTAAACATTTTTTTTAAAGTATTGTTTTCTTTAGTCTCCGGCCCCAATTAAAAATTATTTGTATGTATTTATATGCGAAATTATACCCAGACTTATGCGGTTACCGCTCGGTCCCACCTATCGCATAAGTTCGGGGTATTACTGTACATTACTAGTATATTTTAAATTTGATAATTACATTTATATTGTATTTATTTATTTTAAATGCTTTACTTTTGTTAAATGCTCAACAGTTGCATATTTTTTGAATTTAACTAAATAAATAAAGCCTTTAGATTTTAGTTGAACAGTAAATCAGTAATAAGTTAATCATACTGTAATAATAAACTAATAAAATACCAAACAATAATACTGTCCACTATGAAAACAAATTACAATTATTTTTATTTCTATGTAATTATACTTTTTTATATCAGCATAAAAATACACACACTATACACAATAACATAAGTTCAAAAGATGTACAAAACAATTTTCTTTATAGTTTGTATACAAATTAAGTATTATTACAAGGGAGGGCAAGGTAGTATTACTACTAAAGTATTTGAATTTATATCAAGAAAAAAATTCTTTCTTCTTTTTCCAATTACTATCATTTTGCTACTGACATTCACTATAAATAACATATGATTATATATATATTTAATTAAATTAAAATTATATATTAAATGTCTTAAATTTATAAAATCATAAGAATTATTTTATTATGATTTTGAAATGATAAATACAAGTACAGTTCAAAAAGAGAAAATAGTAATTTTATGTTAAAAAACTTGTTAATACAAAAGATTGAATCTTAAGTAGCAAAAGATACATCTTCTACTATTAGACAATACTATATTTTTCTCTTTTTAAACTGCACTTATATTTATCATTTCAAAAATCATAATAAAATAGTTTTTATAATTTTATAAATATTAATCATGAAGATTTAAATTACAGTGGGTGATCGGTTAACGAACATAATTCATTCCAAGACTTTGTTCGCTATCCAAATTGTTCGTTAACTGATTATCAATTTACCATAGGTTTGTATGGGAATTTGATTAATTCGTTCTGGAGACCCCAAAAAATAAAAAATATATACTTTCTTACTACATTTATTTATATGTAATAATAAAAATACATATATACACACTCTTGCATTTTTATTAGTGATGTTTTTTTGTTTGTGGGGGTTAAATAATTTGTCTAATGTCAATTGCTTTTCTCTCTTCTTCAGGATTTTCAGAATTAATAGCATTGTAATTGTAGAGATCCCCGAGCCTATTAACCTCAACCTGGTTTGTATGCCATTCTAAGACCGTTAATCTGACATCCCCCACTTCTTCAAAAGATCTTTAATTAATAGCAGATATCGGTATTAATCCTCTTTTTCAAAATAAAACATATCTCACAGAGTTTCTTGGTGTTCTTCATTCAAGAGTTCTTGGCATTCTTCTGTTGTCAGATCCGTTTCAGGTTCCATTATGAGCTCTTCAATGTTCTTTATTTCTCAGATGTGATATTTGTTACTCCTTTAGCTGCTTGAGTTTTCTTAATTATACTGTATCTTTCTTAGATAAGATTGAACTGAACCCTACTGTAAATTTGTTCAAGCCATACTGCCCAGTAACATCAGACATCTTCTGCCCACTCTCTACCTTTGCTATTATACTCTCACCTTTCAAAAATAAAAACCGATGCAAAACTCAATGAGTGCCCGCCCAACAGTCTCGCAAATACTATAAAAGAATTGTTTGTCAGAAAAATAAAAGGCTGGAATTAAAAGGAAGTATTTCAAAGTTCGAGGAATACTATCTGATGAGTATATATCGGGTTGAGCATTGATGCTGGTGTCTCCCGTGTTTCAAAAAGTTTTGAATTGTTACCTGAAGACAAAAGAAAATCATTCGGTATTTGCTATTTCTATCGTTTCTTTTTGTTTGTTCAGTGAAGTGTTCGTTATCTGATCATAAAAATCTTTTGCGAAAGTGTTCGTTATCTGATTTCTTCGTTAACCGATCACCCACTGTATATAACCAATCAGTATAATTTTTATATAAAGTTGTTCTTCACAAAACTTTTACTCAAACAAATGAAAATATTTTCAAGTAATTTTAGATCATATCTCTTAAATATTTTAAAATAGAGTGCAAATTGTAGAAAAAGTTAATTGCTATTTATATTGATGAATTTATAACTGAAATACTATATGTTCAGAGAATTGTTTAAAAACTATAATTATGTTATAACGAATTTTAATCCTTATAAATTGGAAATTTTTATAAAAACTAGAGAAAACATATCATGAAATGCATGTTTAATATAAATTTTTGTTATGTCCTTAATTAAAAATGATTTTGATACTTATAAAACTGTGTGTGTAGAAATTACACTATCCAAATAAGAGTATTGAACTAAGAAAATTATGGTTTACTTTTTCCTACTAACTAGAGAGCAGGTATCAGTTTAGCATTGCTAGCTCTAAGCTGGCAAAATTAAACTTCCCTCAGAATAGATCTGCATTAACTAAAACTAGTATGTTAACCTCAGAAACATATATGTGGTTATCTGTAATAAGAATACCTTAATTTTTCTTTTTGGTTGTGACTTTTCTGTTCTTAACATGAGTTGTCTTCTCAATTCTTTATTTTCTTTTTCTAAGCGTTCAATTTCCCTCTGATACTTCAACTATAAAAATTACATAAAATTACATTAAAATTACATACTTAAAAACCTATATACTGTAAAAAAAAAAGTCTCACCTGAACTTGTATTAATTCTTCTTGTAATTTTTCCATTCTTCTTTTTTCATCAAATCTTGTTTGCTTGGTTTCTTCTGAAACAGATGTAGCTCTAAAAACTGTTGATGTAATATGTCCTGATAAAGGCAAATCTGTAGAAGAGGGGTTCAACAAAGCATAAACAGTATTCGTTCTAAATAAACTATCAACTTTTTATAGAAAGCAACATAAAAGCATTAAGTCAAATTTTATAAAAACAAAAACTTAAAATAAAATTAACTAAAATTAAAAAGATGTAGTTTTATAATATTTTTTTTTAATTAAAATTTAAAATAAAATATTAAAGTTAAAACAGCCTATACAACAAAACACAAAAACTTTTAAAGATATATTTTAGAAAAACAAAATTTTGTCCACATCTAATAAACCTTCCATATTTATAAATGTAAAGAAATTAAAATTGATGTAATACCAATACATCTTAATTAGGTCACTAAATAACAAGTTTAAATAATAAAATCAATTAATAATTACAGGTATCCCTCATACAACATGTTTTCGCTCTAACAGTTTGAAAATTGGGAATATCCCCTGTACAATGCAACTTCCAATTTCGCTCTAACACAGTTTTGGAAATTGTCTGTACAAAACTTCACAAATTTTAAGTGTAAACTTTTTATTAAAGTAAACATGCATGTTGTCTCAAATTTGCCCATGGATTTTAGAATATTAAAATTTTTTATTTGTTTTTTGCCTTTCATCAAGTTTAATGAAAACTAAATACATAGAGTAGATGTCATGCAAACAATTTTACTGATTCAAGAGAAAAATTCACATAAAAGGTGTTAAAGAATATTTTAAGAAATGTTTTAATATTCTGCAAGCGCTTTCAACGTATTTATAAACGCCGTCTTCAAGCAGAACCAGAATCAAATAGGTTTACAAACAAGTTTTTAAATTGGAACAAAAACGGCATTAACCGCTCAGAACGTAACAAGTTTAAAGATAAAGTATTAAATATTTTAATTCTAATTCTTAAGAATTAGAATTCTGTATTTCTTAAGAATTCTAATTCTTTATCTTTAAACTTGTTATGTTTTCATATTTTTTATTTTCATAGATAATATGAAAATGTTTCTGATACTTCTGATCAAGATTACCAAAAAAGCAGAGATGACAACGATACTTTGTAAAACAAAAATGCCTTCATTTAACTAAAATTAACATTAATGTGTAATACAGTACTTTTAACTGTGTTAGTTTAAATGTTGTTAGTTAATTATTAATTGGAAATAAGTTAGTGATTGCTTTAATAAACATATTTCTCTTAGTAATGAAAAAGAATAGTATACTTTTGTTAAGTTCTGGAACCTAAAGGACTATGTTTTGCATTAGTCCCACATTTTGTATAGCATGGTTTCACATAACAAGGCATTTTTTCAAAACATAACTACCGTGTTATACAAGAGATACCTGTACTAATATTTTAGCAAAACTGTGTTAAATGATTATTGTATACATAATTTATTTGTGCATAATAAATTGATTAAAAATATTTAAATTACAGAAAATTATACATTAGTTTATTAGTAATTTTACTAACTGTATAAATTGCAAATTTTTTTTATTAATTTTTTATACTGTTATTGTTTTTATTTGTTATATTATCTTAATCTGCTGGTGTTAACTGTTATTTGGGGGGTGAAAATCTTTTGTCCAATGGCATTTCCATGTATATGTAAAATAAACAAATAAATTTAATAAGAGAAGAAAAAATTCAGTGTTTCTCAACAAGTTTTGTTAACCTGTTGAAATTTTTTAAACTAACAAATTCAGTATATTTATAAAAATTAAAGGAGTTAAAAACATCATTCACATAAAAAAGAACTTTTCTGCTGATTTGTTAATATTTTTGTTTATGATATTTTAACACCTGTGTACAGTTACTCCTTGCTTAACATGATTTTGCTTAATGTAGGATTTGATTAATGCACAAAACTAGTTGCGGCAATTCCTTTATATACATGGCAAAAATTTTAATTAATGTGGCTTAACTAGCTGTCTTTCCTTAACATAGATACTGTATTTGATTAATGCGATTATAATATATGTAGTAGTGTTGACAAATTAATTAACCATGTTAATCAAGGGATACCTGTATACAATAAATGTACAGTACACGAGTAGTCAGTAATTTTGATGCATAATACAAATAATTACTTTATTTTGTTAATGTTATGTCAGACTATTGATATATAATTATGAATTAAAATACAAATTAACGATTTTTAAAATAATAAAACCTAATATATACTGAATATCAACCAAAAATCTGAAGTCCATTTTCATAAAATTAATAAATTATTAAGTAAAGTAGACTCCCAAAAATATTTGTTTTTTCAAAGATTGTAAAGTCCAATATGTAAAATTTTATGTAATATTTAAATTTAAAGTTTATTCATTAATGCTCTTTTAATGTTTTGATGTTCATTCTCTACAGGGAAATATAAATAAAAATATTTGTACAAAATAATCTGTATGATTTAATAACATAATTAAATAAACTTAGTCCAAGGAATTATTATAAAATGATAATTGTAGAAATTCTTGAACTAATTTTATGATAATTGTATCTTATAATATAATTGAGATGGGTTGATAATAATAATAATAATAATAATGGTTAGGAGTTGAAAATTGAAATTTAGTACACAGTTAGGATATGTGATGAGAATGTACACAAAGAAGGGACTTTCTGAAATTTTCCCCGCGGAGGAGAAGGAGAGGTTAAGGATTACCCTGAATTCAGATTTTACTGTACTATTTTAAATGCGGTTTTTTATGGAAAATCGAACATGTTTTTAGACCAATCTAAAAATTCTCTAATTAGTCTCGGAATTGAGTGAACCTAATTCTTGCACCCAGTAAAAATGGGTAAGATCAGCTATAATCTAATAATCTTGTTGCTTGGGCAAATTTTCGCTATCGCTACTTTTTGCCCAAGCAACACCAGGCTCATCTGCTAGTAATAATATAATTTGGTTTATTTGGATATAATTATTTTGGATCAAAATAAGAAGCAAGAAATAAATAACAATAATGGATAATTTCTCACCTTCTGCCAAATTGGTAATGGCATCTCCATCACTAGCTTCAGAAAACCAATCATTTAATAGTCGAATTTTATCTTCTACATTCAATAGCCTATTTCTTAACCATCCTTTTTCTGGTAATGTTATTTTGTCTTTCATTTCTAATAAAGCAGTGCGATAATGATCAATTTTGTCAGGTGGAGGTGCAAGTTGTTTGATCCAACTAAAATCAGGAAGCTGATCTTTCCACTCCTCATATTTCTAAAACAATGCAATTTTTTTATAAATAAAATTTAGATTAATAAAAGTATAAAAAGTTATACACATCATACCTTTGATAACTGTACACCACCACCAATTGCAGAACCAATCACAATATACCTAATCTTTAAAATTCCTCGAAGTATCCTAGCTACAAGCACTATGTTTCGAGTTTGAATATAATGGACTTGACACTTTCCTTCAAGTAGATTTGATGAACGTTTAAATGTTGAATAATTACATATTAATTTATTTCTACAATATCGAATAGATGACACTTTACATAAACTTCCTGTCCTTTTTGAAGATGATCTTTTTGATATCTCTAACCTGAAAAATTTTAACCAATCATCTAAGAAAAGTTTCAAATTATTAAACTGTAAATATTCTTTACTTTTAATTAGATCATTGTTACATAGAATAATTCTCAGCTTTCTTGCAACATTAATAATATGATCATATAAGAAACCAAGCTTGAATTATATTACAAATCAAATAATCAAGCCAGATTTATTATCTGATTACATATTGGCTAATTATATGCATAATTCTACATAATTTGGATTAAAACATAGTCAAGTCACCATCTTGTATTAATCACTTACCTTTTGTTCTAATTATATAGCATTTGTACATTTAATTGTCAAAATGCAGCAAATAGTAAATTTGGCTTGATTATTACTAATATAAAATAATTCAAAGAAGTGATTAAATAAACAAATAATTATTTTCTACTATTGTCAAATTTAATGATAATATACCTACAGATTTTAGATTTAATTGTATTAATATTTATAAACTTTCACATTCTGTTTTTATTTTTGTATTATTACAAAACTTCTAATTTGAGGAACTGATGTTGATCACCAGATAAAGTTTTTGTTAATCTGTACCAGTCATGAGCAACCCACAATATGCTTTCTGCCCATAAGATCCTAATATGCAGTCCATAGCTTTGGCAAAGTAATTTTATTTCCCTGTTTTTTATCTTGTACCATTATTATAACTAACTAAGCCAGAGGTCGCCAAACTTTTTTAACCGTCGACCCCCAATCACTTTCCAAAGCCTCACATTGACCCCCACCGTAAAGTTTTATTACAAGTGTATGAGCGAAAAAAAAAACGTTGTGGTTTGTGGTCTCTGTCTAAACAAAAAAAAATTGTGACCCCTTAGCCGCATCGACCCCCCAATGATGTTGCATCGACCCCTGGGGGTCCATATCGACCACTTTGGCGACCCCTGAACTAAGCTAATATTCATGACAAAGAACATTGAAATTAAACCTTGTCAGTAAAAATATGAGAAACTAAATTACTAGTTGCCTATCATTAGCATTTATTACTTTAGTACCTAGTTTACTGATGGTTATGGAATGTATTGGTATTCAGCAGGCTTAAAACCTGCAACTTTAAGAAAAAGTGCATGCAGTCCACTACAGTAGAAACCTAAGAAGTTCAACTTGTGGCCCACACATCCAGAAAAGATTGCTCGTCACTTCTCTATACTTTACTTGATACTTGAAAATTTCTTTAGATAATGAAATAACCTTTCCTGCATCATTATCAGAAAAAATAGAGCACTGCTCATAGAAAGCAAATCAATAAATTTATTATTGATACATTTTAAAACATCAATATCATACAGTTGTTTATATGCATTTGCTTTGTTGAGTAACAATTAATGGTCTAAGCTCCAGATACATTAAAATTTTTTGTGCAGAAATGACTATTCAAATATAAATAATAGTTTTATGATAATATACATTACTCAATTTTTTCAGTTGTTGTTCAGATTTAGTGAATTGAAATGTGATTTTTATTTGGCATTGTCTAAAGAAATCAACTAAGAAACTGCCAAAAAGTGGCACAGGAAATTTAAAATCTTAGAGATAATGTGAGAAAAATTAACTTTTTGTAATGACAGAAAATAAAGCAAAATAAATATTTTAAAATGGATATTCTGGAGAAAACTTTCTGGATATTCTGGGAGAAAAATGGATATTCTGGAGAAATATTTTAAAATGGATATTCTGGAGAAAAATAAGATCAGAAAGTATAATTAAACTTTCTGATCTTATTATATATCAAGTTCAGAAACAACATTTACTAATAAATACTGGTACATATAAAATTATCACATCCAAAACGTTTAAATTTCCAGTACGAAATGAATATAGTCACTGAACTAACGTTTTCAATCTTTAACCTAGATCTTCATCAGGTTCGTTGCCATTCTAAAAATGGAATGTTAAGAATATAGAACATTTTTGAATACAAAATTAAATTTTCTTCAGTATGTAATAAAGAGCAAAGATTTTGAATTAATTAACTAGACAGAAGTCTTCCATAATAATGACGTGCTCCATCTTCCAAGGAATAATATATAATTACCAATGCAGATGCTCATCACAATTATAGAGCCACACATAAGATATTACATTACTATCTTCCCATTTAGAATTGTGAGTGAATGCCCGATTATAGTGAGTGAATTTCTAAATGGGAAGACACAGTCAAAGAACTTAGACACATAGAGGACATTGCCGCAGATCATGGGTACAAAAAAAAACCTAATCCATGGTTTAGCTCATAACTTCCATACTATAAATGCAGGGCTTCACACCTCCACGGAACGGGGGGGGGGGGTTGAAGTTGAGTCCCGACCAGGAAGAAGTAAGAAACACACAGTTATACAATACAACAAAAACCTGCATTCCCTATACAAGGAAATAGCACAAAAGAAGGGCACCAAATTGGCTTACTCGAGAACGCAAACTATTTACTTGCTTTTGAGAAATGCGAAAGGCACACTGGATAATTTGAGAACATCACGGGTGTACAGTATCCCGATAAGAGATCACAGGTTTCAAAGAGATCTTGTCTACGTTGGATCCACCAAAAGGTCTGTTCAAAAAAGAACTGCTGAACATAAATACAGTAGAGCATCGATTATCCGACCCCCAATTAACCGTCACATCGGTTAACCGACCGTTCTAGTCGGCAAATTTCAAATGTCCGCTAGTAATGTGGCGCTACAATATTTGGGTATGTCTTGGCTATTTTAATATTATTTTTGTTAAATTTTTGCGTGTTTTAGCTGGCAACACTGACTCGACCAAGAAAGGGAGGCCAGTATTTAAACTAGACTTAATTTTCTAACTATGAGTGGTTGTTTGTTTCGTGAACAATAAAATAATTTTAAAATAATTTTTAACGATACAATAGCAACGATTATTATTTTTAAGAAATTTTGTTATGCTTAACATCGATGAAAATTCAACGCGAAGTAGATTAATAGCAATATACTAATATACTAATTACTTGGGATATACTAATATACTATACTAATGTATTTTTTTCATTCTTTTTGATTATCCAATTTTTTCAGTTATCCGACCAACCCGAGTCCCCAATTGAGTCAGATAATCGGTGCTCTACTGTATGACATTGACAAACAAAGACACACCACCATGCTGTCAGCATACGCCATGGACCCCAATGTAAGAGCTGATTCAAATAACACCAGTCTTATAAAAACATCATTCAAAACAGACCACATCAGGACTTGGAAATCCTTCAGATTTACAAAGCAACCAAGTTGGAGATTTGTATAAATTTCAAAGATAGTAATGTAATATCTTATGCGTGGCGCTATAATTGTGATGAGCATCTGCATTGGTAATTATATATTATTCCTTGGAAGATGGAGCCAGTCATTATTATGGAAGACTTCTATCTAGTTAATTAATTCAAAATCTTTGCTCTTTATTACATACTGAAGAAAATTTAATTTTGTATTCAAAAATGTTCTATATTCTTAACATTCCATTTTTAGAATGGCAACGAACCTGATGAAGATCTAGGTTAAAGATCGAAAACGTTAGTTCAGTGACTATATTTGTTTCATACTAGAAATTTAAACATTTTGGATGTGATAATTTTATATCAAGTTTGAATAGTATGGGTACCGTGTGTGAACTTATGATTGCCATACAGGATCAGGTCATAAATACTAAAAACTACAGAAAATACATACTCAAAGATACAACACTCACAAATGACACATGCAGAAAATGTCACATCATGCCAGAAACTATACAACACATCACTTATGGTTGCAAGCTCTTGGCACAGACAAATCATTTACACAGACATAATCAAGTAGCAAATATAATACACCAAGAGTTTGCAAACAAACCCAAATTATTAGACATCCACGAACCATATTACAAATACATTCCACATACAGTATTGGAAAACAACAAAATGTACTATGACAGAGCCATAATCACAGATAAAACAATTTACCACAACAGACCAGACATCACACTCATTGACAAACACAATAAAATCACATACATTATACACATATCCATTCCAAACACCAACAATATATAAAACACATTCACTGAAAAAATTAGCAAGTGCACAGAACTCGCCCAGGAAATAAGGCATCTGTGGAGGATGGATAGGGTGCTTATTGTACCTGTCGTTCTCTCCTCTACAAGTGTCATACCACACACAGTACACAAAAGCCTGGGCACATTACAATTGAATAGAAATACATACACCACACTACAGAAGGCCACTATATTGAATACATGCCATATTGTTAGGAAATTCCTGAATACAGATACAGACACTGACACACTTATTTAATTTTAGTTTCATTTTGGTTGCTATGCCTTGACTCTTGTCCAGCATAGTACACAGCCACTGGTGTCAACCGAGTATAACCCACTAAACACAACATAATAATAATATAAATTTCTAAATAAAATGAAAAATTAAATAGAAAATAATTTTAATGCCTTAGTTCATACAGAATGAATTTCTGATGAACAGAAAAAAGAATGAATATTGCATCAATAGTGACATCCTTTCCAGCAAATTTTTGTTTTGCAAGTTTTAATAACATTTTAACATGTTATTAACATATTTAACATGTTATTTAACCTGTTGAACTTTTCCAAAAGTGAAAATATTTACCATTAATCAAAACAAATTTATGGAGATAAGAAAGCAAGAGATTGAAACACCGCTGCTACAGAGAATATATTTTCTAATTATATTCTTATGATTATTTATTGAAAATAATATTACAAAATTAATTATAATAAACAAAGTAAGCACAAAAACAAGTTGATTTTTCAGCCATCATTTTGTTTTAAGAATACAGTAAACAACAATATAACTGACAAAATTTCTGGTTCTTACATCATAAGAGAAAATTAACACCCTGTTAATTTAAGATGCTTTTATATGTAATTAAACTTCTTATACATACTTAATTTTAATTACAAAAATGTATCTACATAAGTGCAAACAGA